ACACACACACACACACACACACACACACACACACACACACACACACATCTCTTCTTGGCTATGGTTACTCCTTAAATCTTCCAGTTTTCTGGGGCTTAAGATCTCTATTTCCGAGATGCAGACAGGGTAGCCTTCCTTCCTTTGCTGAGGGAGTCTCTAAGTCAAAGAAAGATAAGTGTCATGCCCATCACCCAAACCCTAGGGGATTCAGACAGCATTCTGAAAAAGTCCAAGAAGGAAACTCTGACCCAACTGACTAATAGGAAAGATGAAGTATGTACGTGCATGTATGGGGGGAGGGAGGGAGAAGAAGAAGATGGGGAATGGGTGGAGGGGGAGGGCACTGCATTTTCATAACAGTGGAAAAATTTTTCTTTCCATTTATTTTTTGTGGTTTTGTGTGTTTAACCTTCTTACACTAATCATATTACCACCATGTCTTTACATTTAGTTAGGTCTCTCTGGATTGTCGTAAAGGAGCTGAGAGATTTCAGGCTTGGAGAAGAGGGGGTGGAATTTGCCTTTCTGACACAGAATCAGGCCCCAAGTTTCTGAGCACTGCACTGTGGGAGTTAAAGTGCAAATTAGTTTTATTAAACAGCACAATTTTTATTACACACAGCGTAATTATCCAGTTACATGAAAAGATAAAAACTACAGAGGGAGAGAGGAATAGGGAGGCTTCGGAAGGAAGAAAATCTGACAAAGGATATGAGGCTGAGAGGGGGTCAGGAGATACTTTGCTGTCCCCACACAGGTATCTCCCCCCTTTCCCCCACCAAGGGGAAGTTTAAATAAGTGTTGGATGAGTCAGTAACTTCCAGGAACAGAGGAAGGATGTTTTGTGTCAGATTTAATTTTGGCCCCTGTTTTATCTCCTCCAGGAGATTATCAACTTCTTGAAGACAAGAACTGTGTCCTGTTTACCTTTGTATCTTCCAGAGTGCCAACCATAGCTTCTTGTCCTTAGAAAGGACTTACAATGTTTAATTGAATTGAATTGATTCCTTAGAGAGCTGGAAAGGAATCTCCAGTGGTCATTGGATTCATAGAGTTAGAAGGAAAAGGGAGCTTAGAGATTTGGTCCAACCATATCTGACGTTTACAGGCCTGGAACAGTAAAGTGATACCCAAGGTCACACAGCTCATTCATGGTAGAGATATTACTCTAACTTAGATCTCTTGACTCCAGGGCATTTTTCCAAGGAAGTAATCTTTTGACTTGACAGGACTTGACCTAACTGGTCCAAATAGAAAACAACACCCATCTTTACCTGTTAGATTCCTGGACATCTTTTAAGTCATACCTTAAATGCCACTTCCTCCATGAAGCACTCTCTGAGTACGGCCCCCAGCTGCTCATGCCCTTGCCATTCCCCACCAAATTATCTCATTTATTTTGTATATTATTTGTGTGTGTTTTCCCTGATAGAACGTTAGCTCTTTGAGGGCAGGGGTTCTTTCTATACTCCTGGCAACTTCTTAGAGGGGAGAACTGAGAAGACAATCAAGAAGATTTGAAAGATGAGTACACAAATGGTTATTATGCACAGCACCCTTTTCTTTAAATAATCAAAAATTTAGTGAAAAGATTTTTTTAAGGGTAGGTATTTTAGCCCAACTGTTTATTGTTTTTGCAGAATGGGTCTTTGATATGGCTCCATCATTGTTTGTGCAGGGAAGTGTGTGTGTGTGTGTGTGTGTGTGCGTATACATGTTTGGCCTGGACAGATGCCATGTATGATCCACACCATTATTTATTCTTTCTTTCTCTGACTCTCTTACTGAAAGTCAGTCAGTGAGTTGTCATTTTGCCCTGACACAGGCATAACAAAGTTCAGATTAGAGGAGTGAGTAGTTTAAGTCTTCAGCCTGAGATTTTACCCAAGCTAAGACTAGAATTCACAAGTTCCAGTCCTTCTCATCTAGCTGAGAAGAAAACAATTCCTAACCATTGTTGTGTGGAAAAGGGTTTTTCAAAAGAGATCAAGATTTGATTCAGTTATTTTCTATTAAAGTTGAGCTGGAATCACAGAATGTCCATTGAAGGGCCACTTGAAGGCTGACTGGAGATCTAACCATCTCCATTTAATGTCAGTCCAAGAAAGAAAATGAGACACTCCACAATTTCTTTTTCGTGTAAGTGTGTGTGTGTGTGTGTGTGTGTGTGTGTGTGTGTGTGTATAATCCTAAGGTCTCCATGCTCTCATGACAGGAAATTCTTTTCAATGTGTGTAACCTAGAATCAGATGGTCAGATTTGCATAGAGTTAGACCAGATCAAAGTTGTCATGTAGAAAAAAAAAGGTTTTAAAAAATACTTAAATATAAAAAAAGAGCATTTCCATATGTACAGCAGAACACAAAAAGAGAATGCTGTATGAAACCAAAATTTTTCAATTCATACTGCTAGCTTTTATGTTGAGTGCAGTCTGGGATCTCTATCTCAGAGTCAGGTTGGCTCCAATCTCCCCCCTCAGGGTTCTAAGGCTTCTGCTTTGGGGTGAAGTGTTGCTTTAATAACATTGGCTTAACCCCCTATTCTGGGTGTGTTTCCCTCGCTATTGGATATGAGGACTAGCACCCCAGTTCCATTTAACCAAATAACATCAATTAACATTTAAAAATAGAAATTTAATTCAACTATATAGTAAGAACAGAAGTATATCCATTTTCCCTAAACACTCAACACACTCTTCCCATCAGGATCTCTGAGACTGGCCCAAACTTAGCATAGTGTCTACATAATTGCTCTTCTCAAGTTCACATTCAAAT